TATAGATTTACTTTAATGTAACAACACACACTATTATGAAATGAAGAAGAAAATAAAAGTACCAATACTCAACCATTAAACCTTTAGCAACTTGGGCTATATCTAAATTTGTAATTTATTTGATTACCTTCATTTAAACAAATATTAAACCCTTCACTTCAAGTGACCATTAGGTTTAATTCACTAAAGCCATGCTTACTCCAGAATTAAAGACATAATACTTACCATACCTATAAGAGAAGGCCAAAAAGCATCAATAAAACATGGATCACAGTACAGCAGAACAGAAATCAGAAATTTGCTGGTAAAAGTTTAGAGATACGCTAGGTTTCACAGAAAATGTTTAACAATAAACATTAAGACTTAAAATCCTGGCTCGGCACCTATAGCTCAACCGGCTAAGGCGCCAGCCACGTACACCTAAGGTGGGGGGTTCGAATCCCCAGCCTGGACCGCCAAACAACAATGACGGCTGCAACCAAAAAATAGCCGGGCGTTGTGGTGGGCGCCTTTGGTCCCAGCTACTTGGGAGGCGGAGGCAAGAGACTCGGTTGAGCCCAGGAGTTGGAGGTTGCTGTGAGCTGTAATGCCATGGCACTCTACCCAGGGGGATAGCTTGAGGCTCTGTCTCAAAAAAAAAGACTTAAAATCCTATCTCAAACTGGCTTTTACAAATGGAGGATTTGTTATCATATAACGGAAAACTCTAAGGGTACAGGGCTTTCTCAATTCTGGCACGTCTTTGTCTAGGGCAGCGGTTCTCAACCTGTGGGTCGCCGCGATCCAACTAGGGTATTCAAATAATATTAACAAGGCTAGATTTTTCCCTGTCTTACAGGTGTGCTCTGAAAAATGGCCTCAATATTGGCTTCAGTCTAAGGTCCCAATCTCAGGCTCCACAATTCCAAGTACAGTGGAAGTACTAGAGTGTCTCAGTAGCCCAAGAAAGAAATCCCCAAATCGAGCCTCATGGACTTGTGCCCCCTCCAAAACAATCACTTGGCCTGGAGAATGGAATGTTCTGATTGGATAGGCCTGAATCATGTGGTCCCTCTCGGAGCTAGAGGAGGGAGTCAACCCAATTGGACTGTAAATGGAAAATAAGGGTGTAGGGGTGATTTCACAAACAAAACTCTGGATGCTATTGTCAGAAGACAGCGTGGATATATTGGGCAGACAACACAAAATAACAGATGTGCACTGTAATGAGCTTCTAGCCCTTCCCAAGGGCAGAGAGCACTAATTGCACCTCTTTAGACTCTATCATCATGTTGCTATATAGTGAGCTCCAACCTGATTCTATCTTATCTCCATCTCCCTTTACCATTCATTCTAACTAACCCATGTTCTATATCACCATATAATTATCTGGACAATTCAAATTTCAAATATTCTCTCTCCCATAAACAAAATTTTATATTTAGTAGATCATATATTGTGATTAATCCTTGCTTTGGAAAATATGCTCATGCTATGTAGTGTCCCTAGGAAAGAGGCACAAGAGAAACTGACACTGCGGCATCCCTCCACACCAGGCATCCTCAAACTACAGCCCGCAGGCCACGTGCGGCCTGCCTAGGACATTTATCCTGCCAGCTGGGTGTTTTTACAGCCCCTGCCTGTCCTGCTTAGTAGCTGGACCCGCAGTCCGGCCCTCCAATGGTCTGAGGGACAGTGAACTGGCCCCCTGTTTAAAAAGTTTGAGGACCCCTGCTCCACACCCTTTACCACTAAAAGCTCAGGTGTATCTGAAAAGGCTGCCACTGGACTTTAATTAACAGCTGCTGAGTTTGGTCTTCCTTCTGCCTAAAGCAAAGAAACACTAAGCCTGTAGAAACTGGAAGCTTTAGCAGCGACCCAGTTAGTGAATTGTGTGTGAGAGAACTTACGACGTAAAGCTGAGTACTAAGCCTGCAGGCAACAGCTCTGGTTGGACTCTACAGAGAGGCAGTTAAGACAAAACTGATCCACCTAGAAACCACAGACTATCTAACTATTAGTCTTTGAGTTCTCGGGCAAATACACCACACGATGGCGACAGCAGCAGAGCATGGTAGCGGACGCTGGGGCATTCACCAAATCCCAGCGAGAAAAGTGTGTGGGAACTTCCAAGATGAGGACAAAGGGATGGGAATTCCTAGAGAATACAGCAAACCCTGGGGGGCTGTTTAGGAGAGAAATGGAGACTAGAACCTTTTCAAGTGACAATGCCAGACTTCATTTTTGTTTTCTGCAGAAGTTGTGGTCTTATGTACGTAGGGAGGGGCTGTATGTAGGAGAGTATGTAGCTCACTTTAACTGGAATACAGCCCCACCTTGTGGACAGCAAGTCCAAATTTCCACCTGGGAAAATGCACCTGTAGGAGGAATTCCATTATAGCTCAGGGAGGGCTCAGGAATGACTTGGCAACATTGTAGAACATTTGAGGCTTAAACAAGGTTATTTTTTTTAAAAAGCACCCGCAGCTTGAGAAAGTTAGGTGGAAGTCCGAGTTCAGCTTATCACCAATGGGAGAAGTAAGCATGGGCCGCTTCTTGAAAATGTACCTTCTGGCTCGGTGCCTGTAGCTCAACTGGCTAAGGCGCCAGCCACGTACACCTAAGGTGGCGGGTTTGAATCCCCAGCCCGGACCCGCCAAAAACAGCAATGATGGCTGCAACCAAAAGAAAAAATGGC